ATGAGGGACAGCTGCCGATGAGCTGGGTGGCCACCCAAGTGGCAGGGATTGGGGGCAGGGTGCATAACAGTCACGCCAGAGGAGCTGCCCCGGCTGGGTGCTGGCTCCTGCAAGCAGCGGCCCGACACGCTGCTGTCGCTTCTGCTTCCTGGTAGAGCTCTGCAGATATTCGCTTTATATCCACATCTGTGGATATACATTTTGTATCCATGCAGGGCTTTAAGTATTTGCACGATGATGGAAGGTACCACAGTGGAAAAGTCGATTCTAGCTGTAATATGATAGCACCATATAATATAATTTACAAAAGATACACTAATTCCTACCATGTAATTTTTAAGAATTTCTGTATTGTGCACATATTTAAAGACTGTAGTCAAAGCAAATCTGTTTTACTAGAAGGGAAGCTAATGTCTCCCCTCCCTCCCAAATTGCTATTAATATTGGGATGCTTAAAATGTAACTTGGGCTTTTGGCCAAGTAAAAAATGGAGCAATGAAAATTTCTTGCCATGTCACATTTTTAATTTGGTGCTAGGCTAATAATCTCATTTGCTCGGGGTTATGCAGATGAACAGCTTTTAAAATAGAGCAAGGAATGAAGGTAACAGAGTTGGTGAATCAGCTGTAAAACGAGCAGACAGACTACAGATGAAAACAATTTAATTAATATGAATGGCACTTTCAGGCCCTGATCCTCCAAACACTTATGTGTATGCTTTATGACTTCAGTAGGACTGCTGGTGTGTGCTTTCATGTTTTTGCAGGATTGGGGCCTGAACAGACTTTGTGGTGAATAAACTGATTCAGAGAGACTGTAGTATTTGCTTTCACCTGGTTGCTTCATAAGCATTTCAGGCAGGGGCGAAAGTAACTTTAGGAACTTATCGGTACGCAGGGCGGCGGGGGTCCTCAACCGGAAGGGGCGGGGCCTCAGGCAGAAGGGGCAGGGCTGGGGCTAGACTCCGCCTGCCAGCCAGCCCTTCAGTGCTGCCCAGTCCACGCTGCCGGGCGCTCCGGCTGCGATTTAAAGGGCTCGGGGCTCCTGGCCACTGCCGCTACCCCAGGGCTTTGACAGCAATTTAAAGGGCCCAGGGCTCCCGGCTGCCACTACCACTACCCTGGGGCTCCTGGCCGCCCTACCGCGCCAGCAGCCGGAGCCCTGGGTAGCGGTAGCAGCAGCTGGGAGCCCCGGGCTCTTTTAAATCGCCGCCGCCGCTACCCCAGGACTCTGGCGATTTAAAGGGCCCGGGGCTCTGGCACTGCTGGAACGGGTCGCCTGTGTACCAACTCTTACCGGTACGACGGACCAGACCGGATCGGCTTACTTTCACCTCTGATTTCAGGTTAATAGAAGAGTTGAAACTAGAAAATAGCATAATTTAAGAGACACCCACAATGTAAAAATCGTACCTCTGGAATTGTTTTCACCTGCTTTTGTTACAACTGCCAAGTTTTCATCTTTTTGCATAAGAGGAAGAGGAGGTTAAATGGAAACAATGCTATTTCTTGTAAAGTGATTAACATGGAAGGACCTGACAACTCAGAGAAGAGGAAGTCAGTGTTTATTTTGGGCAGAAGCCTGAGTTTCTCTACTAAAGTAATAACTATTTAGAGGAATTATTGTTGCAGTGAAGGGAGGGCTCCAGACTTCATCAGCAGATTAAAACTACTTGGGTAAAGTTTTGTAGGAGCAACTGGCTTGCCACAGAAAGCAATGACAGACCTATATGTTGTTAACAAAAACTGCAATCTTTATGCCATTGAAAGGCTTTTGGCATGGTGCTATAGGCGGATACACTTCAGGTAGTTTTTCTTTTAGGAAAAATGGCTTTCTTGTGTGCCTAAAATGAATATGGCTGTTTCTACTTGAACACTTCTATATTAGTGCCACTCCTTGTGTGACAGCCATTGCCTTGACTGACATACCAGGAACAGAACCAGGAAACTCCAGAGCTGAAAAAAGCACAAGCATCTACAGTTTGAGCTAAAGAGCCAGGCTCTGTAGGTCAGAGCTTTAACAGTCCGGTATGCTCTATTGATCAGACACAGAGGGAGGATGCATAACCCACAGTGGGTTACACTTGCACCTAGAGAAACAGCCTACAGTTGCTGTAAAACACTGATTCTGTGTACTAGTTTTATTTTAATATAATAAAAGCGATCTCTGATTTCTTAGTGTTGTAGATCTTATTTCAGAATTGTCATCAAAATGGTCTTTTGCCCATGTTAATTAACCTACTGCATTAAAAAAAATGCTTTGCAGTACTTTGGTAGGTATATTAAATTGGATCACATTGTAAATGGGTGGAAATCAACATTTTAAATAGCAATTTGATGTATATTGAAAAATCTCAAGCAATAGAGAGAAGGAATTTTGGTCTGACTACACAATCAAAGAGTAGCATTCCAGAAGATTCTTTTATGAAACAATAATATAGTTCATCAAGTCTAAGAAAATAAATAGATTGCTGTTTATGACAATCTAATGTATGTGTCCAGACTTGACTTCTAGTAAAACAATAGCTTCTTGTTAATTACACAACAAAATATTGTTAGAAATCTACTACTTGTACAGTACATTTTTATGATTCAACGTTTGGTTGTAAATATTCTTTATAACAAAAAGCAAGTGCTGAATGAGACCAAGTGGTTTTATATAAGCAAACTTTAGAGGGTTTTACCAGTATCTATCTATCTTATAAGTTTTGATTATACTGAAAAATTCATGATCGTTTCATATAAGAACAAAGACAGTCTTAGCCTAGTCAGTCATGTGCTCTTGGGTGCATTTTAAAAAGTCCATCACCAAATTGAGAGGTTTTGTGCGATTTCACTGCTTCTGATGGAGTTCACCCCCTCTGGATCCAGCTAAGCCATTCCTGCCAGAGATGACTTAGTCCTGAAAATGATTAAAAAATACTACAGAAGAACAGACTTCTTTTTTTTTTGAAGGGAGTAGACGTTTTCATTGCCTCCTCTATATCCCACCCCACCCACCTTCAAATTATATTAGTTGGACAGTGTGCTATACTGTCATTGTTCTCAGTTTATTTTTTCAGTTTCAGTTTTAGCATTAGAATCATAGAATATAAGGGTTGGAAGGGACCCCAGAAGGTCATCTAGTCCAACCCCCCTGCTCGAAGCAGGACCAAATCCCAGTTAAATCATCCCAGCCAGGGCTTTGTCAAGCCTGACCTTAAAAACCTCTAAGGAAGGAGATTCTACCACCTCCCTAGGTAACGCATTCCAGTGTTTCACCACCCTCTTAGTGAAAAAGTTTTTCCTAATATCCAATCTAAACCTCCCCCACTGCAACTTGAGACCATTACTCCTCGTTCTGTCATCTGCTACCATTGAGAACAGTCTAGAGCTATCCTCTTTGGAACCCCCTTTCAGGTAGTTGAAAGCAGCTATCAAATCCCCCCCTCATTCTTCTCTTCTGCAGGCTAAACAATCCCAGCTCCCTCAGCCTCTCTTCATAACTCATGTGTTCCAGACCCCTAATCATTTTTGTTGCCCTTCGCTGGACTCTCTCCAATTTATCCACATCCTTCTTGAAGTGTGGGGCCCAAAACTGGACACAGTACTCCAGATGAGGCCTCACCAATGTCGAATAGAGGGGAACGATCACGTCCCTCGATCTGCTCGCTATGCCCCTACTTATACATCCCAAAATGCCGTTGGCCTTCTTGGCAACAAGGGCACACTGCTGACTCATATCCAGCTTCTCGTCCACTGTCACCCCTAGGTCCTTTTCGGCAGAACTGCTGCCTAGCCATTCGGTCCCTAGTCTGTAGCTGTGCATTGGGTTCTTCCGTCCTAAGTGCAGGACCCTGCACTTATCCTTATTGAACCTCATCAGATTTCTTTTGGCCCAATCCTCCAATTTGTCTAGGTCCTTCTAGAGTTAAAGTGCATATCATATAATCTGTTGGGTTGTGTGCCAAGTCATTTTCTCTCCTTCCTTAGTTATGGTTATGAGAGAGCATTTTTGTATAAATGGGAATACAATTTCTTCGTTGGTCTTCTCTGTGAGGACATGCACACTGGTACATGTGATTGATCTGGGAGCAGAATGTTTGACGGAGCCCCTTCTTAAAATATTGGCATAATATTTGAGTCTAGTTCGTACAGTGCTTCTAGACGTTGTTTTTACCTTTATTTCCTGTCAGAATAAATTGGCACTTCAGGAAATGCTAGGAGAATAGGCGCATTTGCTGAAAACTGAAGTCTTTCTACTTAAAATTGTATTCTAAGCTTTCTCTTACAGAAGAAATGTAACTGTTCTAGATTGGGCTAAAACACAACTGAACAGGGATTCATTTCTGAATTGGCCAGAATGTGACTCAGTTGATATTCCTTCTTACACATCATCAGCTCAACCTCTGACCTGTCACTGAGGGGGATAACAGGGTTGCACAGGTGTAACAGAGGGACTAATTTGGCCTGTAGAAGCTCTGAGTTTGTAGGGCTGACAATTAAGAAGCCTGATTTTTACTTTTAAAATGAACATATTTGTTTTAGAATTCATTGAGAGGCAATAATCATGGAACTTTACAAAGCCTTTTTGTTTTTCCCATGCAGAGTCACTTTTCACGAAAGCTTAGGCTCTAATAAATTTGTTAGTCTCTAAGGTGCCGCAAGTCCTCCTGTTCTTTTTGCAGATACAGACTAACACGGCTGCTGCTCTGAAACTTTTCAGAGTAGAACTGCATTGTAAATTGTAGAGGAACTCACGTTTTGCTAAACTGCTTGAGAAATTATTCAGTCCTAACTCAGTACTATAATTCAAGGCTTCTGTGCTTCAAAATGCTGATGTTACCAGTGAAAAGCATCCCAGTTTTGTTTTTTTTTAAATCTGTATATTTATGTAGGAAATTGTAACAAGTTTACGAATTATTGCCATGTAAATATGGGAGATACCAGATCTTGTGTAGCTCTTTCAGTTTTCCTGGCTTTTTAAAGCCAGCAAATAACCTTCTGCTTTTTCTTTTTTAGACAAATGCTCTAAACACAATGAAAAGATGGCCTGCCTTACAATGACAGAGATGGAAGGAACAGCAACTTCTACTCTACACCAAAATGGTGACATCCATGGGAATGCAAATGCTCCCAAGCAGACAGAGCCAGTGCTTCAGGTTTACCTTTATCATTCCCCGGAGAAGACCGAAGGAGATTATCTTCAGTTTCCAGCTGGCGAATATATTGCAGAAGAGATTTGTGCTACTGCTTGTAAGGCTTGCGGTAAGAATATGTATGATGGTTTTCCTAGTAACGAAGTGATATTGTTTCAGCTTCATGCAACATTAGTTTTTAATATAGTGTGCACAGGCCCTGACTAAAATGTTTTATGCTATAACCTGTGCATGTATAGAACAATGTTTTTGTTTGTTTATTTCTGACCATTCTCTGCTCTGTGAGGTCATTATTTGCTGATTAATAGTAGTTACCTCCACATTAGCCTTTCAAAACTTTAACTATTAAGGAAGGGTTTATCAACCGAACAGTTTATACCAGCCCTGCAAAGCACCCCGATGCACTTTGTGACCAAGAGTTAGAAGCAGTGTTCCCTCTAATTTTTCCCACCCATGTGTGGAATTAATTTTGTTAGGTGCACCAATATGGAGGTGATGTGTGAGGGGGCTCAGGGCTGGGGCAGAGGGTTGGGGTGCAGGGGTGTGAGGGCTCTGGCTGGGGGTATGGGCTCTGGGGTGGGGCTGGGGATGAGAGGATCAGGGCTGGGGCAGAAGGTTGGGGTGCAGTGGTGTGAGGGCTCCAGCTGGGGGTGCGGGCTCTGGGGTAGGGCTGGGTATGAGGGGATCAGGGCTAGGGCAGAGGGTTGGGTGCAGGGGTGGGAGGGCTCTGGCTGGGGTGCAGGCTCTGGGGTGTGGCCGAGGATCAGGGGTTTGGGGTACAGGAGGGTGCTCTGGGGCTACGGTGGGGAGAGAGGACTCCCCCCCCCCCCCAGCTCTCTCTCCCTGCAGCAGCACCTGGACTCGGGGGAGAGGCACCTCTCTCCCTGCAGCAGCAGCTCTGGGGCTTGGGCTGGGGCTGCAGGATAGGCGCCCTTGCCTCAACCCCGGCAGGTCTGGGTTCATGCCGTGGGAGGAGCACTCCTGCCAGGCCTGGGGCCAGGCTGGGCCACAGCAGAGTCGAGGCCAGTGGAGGGGCGCCCTGGACGAGGCAGGTTGGGGGCTGGGAGAGGGGCGCCCCTTTCCCCGGCCGGTCTACTGAGCACCTGCGCAGCGCTAAATAGGTTGCTGCACAGCCACACAGTTTACAGGAAACTTCGGTTAGAAGTGCAGCTGTCTGGAGGGCAATAATTCTCTTTTGCAGTAACGTTAATGTTTTGAAATGTATTTTTGTTCCACTGGGAATGAAAACAAAACCTTTCAGATGTTTTTATGAAGTGGAATTATGTCGAAATGGTGGGTTTTGGATAGACAAACTGAGCTTTTCAATTTGTGTCTCACTGTATCACTGTTGCAAAAAAAGTGAACAACATTCTGGGGTGTATCAGCAGGAGTGTTGTAAGCAAGACACGAGAAGTAATTCTTCCGCTCTACCCCGCACTGAGTAGGCCTCAACTGGAGTATTGTGTCCAGTTCTGGGTGCCACATTTCAGGAAAGATGTGGACAAATTGGAGAAGTCCAGAGAAGAGCAAGAAAAATGATTAAAGGTCTTGAAAATATGACCTATGAGGGAAGATTGAAAAAACTGTGCGGAGGGTTAGTTTGGAGAAGAGAAGACTGAGAGGGGACACGATGACAGTTTTCAAGTACATAAAAGGTTGTTACAAGGAGGAGGGAGAAAAATTGTTGTTCTTAACCTCTGAGGATAGGACAAGAAGCAATGGGCTTAAATTGCAGCAAGGGAGGTTTAGGTTGGACATTAGGAAAAAGTTCCTAACTATCAGAATGGTTAAACACTGGAATAAATTGCTTAGGGAGGTTGTGGAATCTCCACCTTTGGAGATTTTTAAGAGCGGGTTAGACAAACATCTGTCAGGGATGGTCTAGATAATACTTAGTCCTGACATGAGTGCAGGGGACTGGACTAGATGACCTCTCGAGGTCCCTTCCAGTTCTGTGATTCTATAATTACCTGTCTGTAATGTCAAAAGTGACCAGAGAATGCGGAATCAGAAAAAACAGTTCTTGACAAAAATGTCATCCAAACTAATATGTCTCTATGACAGTTTTCAGCTCTGACAAAATATGCATATTTCTATGAAATTTCACTTTCCTGAAAAAGTTCTGACCAGCTGTAGTTAGAAATAGCTGTTGTAAGGAGGCCCTATGGCCTTTATCCTGAACTTGCTAACACTTATATGTATGATAATTTTGCAAATGTGAATAGTCCCATTAAGTACAGTGGGACTATTTGTGTACGTGAAGTTACTTGCATGCATATATGTTTACAGGACCAAGGCCGTATTGGGTAAATATGGCAAGCAGTAAATAAAAAATAGCTCACTTTGGGCCATAGAGAAGTAAACCCCTTTTATTGGGAAGAGAATCATCAGCCAGGACAGTGGGTTGTTATGAAATCTTTTGAAAGAGAGTAGATATTACATATTTACACACAAGGAAAGGATTCCTTTAGAGCTGTTTCACTTTTGGCCTTATTTTGAAATGAATGGAAGCTGAGAGTGAAAGTCAAATAATTGAAAAAGGTTTGCTCTTTGTGTACACACTTCAGCTAGTTTTTAAGTACTACTGTATAACAGTCAAAGAAACGGTATGGGGAGAGAGAAATTAAACAGCAAAAAACTTTGCTCTCGTAAGGTCTAATTTAAACTAAAAAAATAAATGATAAATAGAGCTGAGGCTGGAACTGTGTCTTTAATTCATATCTACTGTAACTAGGTTTTATTAGGGGTTGTGGAACAAGGGGTTGATTTCACATGTTGTACTTTAGGTCCTACAGTCCTTGGACACTGTATGGTGATTTAACAATCTATCGTTCAGTGTCATCTCCTTCGGTTTAAACATATTTTCTGTTGCTTAGTCAATAAACAAAAAAACTAGATTGCCATTTTGCTTCTCTTTTTTCAGAGATGTGAAATACTGCATAGGTTTCCAATGTGGTGATTATTAATTTGTAATACAGTAGCATCCAGGAGCAGGATTCTGGACTTATGGTCTGATCTGGCATGGCAAATCCTACATTCCTACAATGAATTTTTTGTGGGGAGGGTAGGTAATATAAGGCACATGAAAACACCGTCTACCAGTAGTTAGTGAGAGAGTGAAAATTAATGTGCATCTTTTTGAATTCCAGAATAGCACTGCTAAAGTAGGTAGCCCTGAATATTGTAGTGGTACAAATTTTTTAAAATTTGGAGACATGAGAGTATTTGTCTGAAGTTTTTTGAAAATTACCTCTGTAGATTTCTCCTGTTGGGATTTGCACTATTCCATCAGTATTGCAAGACGGAAATCATGTTGAAAAACAGTTCCCTTTTAGAGAATATGAATGCCTCCTTGCAAATGTAAATACTCAATATGTGGTTATAAAAAGGGAGCATGATTCCATCCATCTCAATTCCTTCTTTTCCAATCAGCCACAAGTATTTGAAGCCATTTACGTATGCCTGGAGTTTCCCTGCGTTGTCTCTTAAGAATTCTGTTTTCCTGCTTTTAAAATATTTCCTCCCCCACATAGTAAATAGTTTGTAGTTAATTTAGAAAAGTTTTTAGTGTGCACTGTTCTCCTATTGGGATTGAGTTGTTGTAGGCATTTGAGAGAGACATCCTATGCTGACTCCAACTCTATGCTGTTTTGGGTCTGCAGGACTTTATCTGATTTTGGCCACTTGGGTTAGTTTCACATTGACTCTGCTAGTTAAGTCCCATTGTATTGTTCATTGTTCCCTTTGATATTTCAGGCATGTCTGAGACTGACAAATAGCCTGGTTTTAATTGTGTATCATGCAATACAAAAATGTCTGTAGCAAGCTATCATCCTCTGTGTCTTTTGTGTCTTAGGCAGAGCATCATCTTGGACAGCATGTCTGTATGTGCAGGATACTGTTGTTGATGTGTAAAGAGACTGTTATTTAAAGTGGTTTCTTTGGCAAGGGATCATCAGATTTGGACAGTGTCAGGTTTAGCTTCCATTGGTACCAGTTTCTTCTGATCCTCAGGTTTGGCAATCTGACTCTTAAGTTTTTCTAGGATTCAGTGTCAGTTCCAATGCAGTCTTAAATCAAAATCTTCTAAGTATCCTTGGGATAAGCAATCAAAACCTTATGGCTGTAGCCCCTGTCCCAAAGGCCCTTTGGCACTGTCCGAGGAACAGACAAGCTATTGTCTTCTCATACACAGAAGGAAAAATTGGAAACATGCCTGGAGAATCCCCTTAGACCTGTGAGGAGGGATGGCACTCCAGAAGGTGTAAGAAACCCCATGATTCTAAGAATAGGTCAGAATAGGAAGCATTTGCAGATCAAGGGACTCTGCACTGTTACCATTAACATCTCTATAGGTCCTGCTGCCCAGTTATTGCTATTGGATCCAGCATCTGTAGACGCCTACACACCGGTGGTGGTTAGAGATGGTGGTAGAGCGTCTCCATAACTGAATGATTCCTGTGTTACCTACATTTGATTCCAGGACATATTGTTGGAGTCTCATAAGATCTTCATGAGGAAGTGTTGTTAGCTGAAATTTTTCCTGTGAGTCCTGTGTACCAAACTGCTACTTTTGTTTACCAGTATTCCGAATATTTTGGTCTGTTTGCTTTAATCAAAGAAACCAGGTTTGTACCATCTAAGTTCAGACAGGAGAAACCAGAGTGATGGAAACTTTGAGGTAGTGCACTATTTATCACCTGTCTCTGAGGATTACTTCCTTGGTTGTTATGACATTAGCAAGAAGAGTAAGTAAATTTGAAGTTTTTGTGGATTGTAAGGCCAGAAGGGATGATTAGATCAACAAGTCAGACCTCCTGTATATCAAGACCATTAAATTTCATTGTTACCCCTGTGTTGAGTCCATTAACTTGTGTTTGACTAAAGCATACCTTCTAGTAAGGGATTCAGTCTTGATTTGAAGACATCAGGAGATGGAGATTCACCATATACCTTGGTAATTTGTTCCGGCGGTTAATCATCCTCACTGTCAAAAACATGTGCATTATTTTCAGTTTTAATTTGTCTTGTCTTGTCTTCAGATTCCAGCCATTAGTTCTTGTTATCCCTTTCTCTCCTAGATTAGAGAGCCCTGTAGTACCCAGCACC